CTTTCCACTTCAATTACTTTGAGCAGCATCGAGAAAAAAATTACCAATCCACCAAAATGAGTAAGTCCCCCTGTGAAGCCATGAAATGCTAGCTCACACGATGCCATTTCATGCTTCTGCGGCCTGAACTCTGACCATTTTCTCCTGCGGGGAAATGTCAAGTTTAGGTGTCGATAGCTCTCATGACCGACTAATCACTCGAACCCGAATTGGAAAAGCTAACCGAACCTCACCAAATTGACAGTTCATTTTTAGAAAGAGCTTTAAAAAGTAAAAAAGCGCCCAGGCGCTCGCAAGCCCACCTGCCAGGCCATGTCGTGTGCTGATTTCCATTTCGTCTGTCCTCCTCCACAACGCCTCGCTCGCGTGTCCCGGGCCCCTCGTGCCCTGACTCCCTGCTCTCTGCCGGCAGACTGGCCCACCCCGAGGGAAGCCTCCCCGACCTCGCCATGATGAACCTGACCGCCCGCCTGGGGGCGGCGGACACCAAGCCGCTGGCTGGGCCTGGGGAGGGGAAGCCGGGGGGCTGCCCCGCCAAGGCCAAGAAGAGTGAGCTCAGCAAAGACAGCGAGGACGAGGACGACGAGGACGAGGACGAGGAGGAGGCGGCGTCAGGTGAGCTGCCCGCTAGCGGGTGCTGGCTGACGGGCGGCGGGAGTGAAACTTGCCCCAAGTGGGTGAAACGGATGTGCGCTGGACGCAGGCTGCGGTGAATGGAAGTGCGTTCACTGCGGCGCCAAGTAGGGCGAGCGGGCAGCTTGTGCTTGGAAGACCCAGCTCCCCGGTGGCTTTCAGGGAAGGGTTTTAAAGGCGAGGTCGGGGAGAAGGTTGCCGGTGCACGTCAGTCCGTGGACCTTCTCATAGGCTGGTGTTGAGGTAACTGGGAGGTGACATCGTTACCCTTCGGGCTCCAGGCCGTCTGGGGTCCGCGTGCTGGGGGTCAGCGTGCAGCCAGCGCCTCCACCTGGCGGGGGTTTCAGCGCCTGCAAAACGACTCAAGGGTGCGGCTCAGGGTGTGACCTGCAGCCCCCAGGAAGGAGAAACCAAGTCCTTGGCTTTGTTTCAAGGCTGAACCATTGTGCTTGCCTGTCTTCCCGCATGTCTGCGTGTCCCCCTTCTCTGCTTAGCTCGCTCCTGGGGCCCAGGGAAGGCCTAGGAGGCTAATGCTTTTCTACAAACGAGAGGCGGGGACACGCGGGGTTCTGTCCCCAGGGGCCCACGGGGTCCTGCTTAGCTTCCTTTAGTCTGTTAGCTTCCAGGAAGTTTGGGAGAACTGGAGAGCATAGCCTTTGGGGTGACGCTCTGGGGCTGTGACGGTCATTCGCTGCCCCGGCGCTGTGTGCGGACGGTCCCTCCCAGAGGCAGGCTCCCCCCAGGGCTGGCCCTTCACCCAGAAGCGCCCCCTGCGCTGCGCGATGTGTCCTCCAGCGAAGAAGCGTGAGCCCTGGGGGCCGAGGGCTTGGGACCAGGCTTGTCTCACTGCCCAAAGGCAAGTGCGAGCTTTACTTACAGTGACGTCTCACCCTAACTTGGGCCGCACCTGCTCCCTCCGTACCTGCCACCCCCGCCTCTGAAGCATGCCCAGGTAGGGCCTAACCCTTGCGCTGACCTGCCACCCGAGTCACTCTGTGAATGAGTAAAGCCTGGCAAACTTTCAGAGCCAAGGCTGTCACTGCGGCGCCACCCCAGCCGCATCAGGAAGCCACTGCACACAAGGACCCCAGTCTCAGCCCGTGCAGGGCCGTGAGCTTCTGTTTGCGGTGGGGGGGGCGTGCTGGTTGTGCAGGGCCTTGAGCTTCTGTCTGCAAGGGGTGGGGCGTGCTGGTCCTGGAAGGCCCCGTGGGGCTTTCCTTCCAGGGAACCCAGACTGACCTTCCGGGCAGAAGCCTGGGCCAAGGCTGCAACATAATAAGGTAGAATACACGAGGTAGAAAGCAGAGAATGACTAATTTGATTAAAAACTGTCACTAGGGTGAGTCTGGGCGCACTTGGTGGGCTGTGGCCGGGGGTTCAGGCCCAGAACCAGGGTCCACTCTCAGGCTCTTCCTGGGTGGCGGGGGAGGGTGGCGCCTTGCCTGCCCCCTTGTTAAGCCCCAGGAAGGGGACTGGCACGTAGGGGAGCACTGTTTTGGCAAGAAAAGTGTCATTTAGAGGGAGCTCAGCTACTTAATATTTGGGGTAAATTAGGGAATTATATATCTCAGCCTCAATGGTAAATAAAGTCGACACTGTTTTTCACATAAATGTAATAAGAAGGTGCGTGAAAGCAGTGCTGTGGTGTCTCCGTGTCAGCGCGTGATGTCCGTGCCCTCACATATGGGATCCGTGGGCCCCCTTCCGCCAGATTGAGGCTCTTGGATTCGTCCACTCTGGTTGTCTTGCAGTTTCTCATTACAGTCGGAACAACACAAGATAAGCTCTAAATAATCATTGTGCACACACGCACGCACGCACGCACGCACGCACGCCCCCTTTGTGTTGCTGGGTGCATTCCCTGCGTTGCAGATCTGAGGAACAAGTGGCATCTGGTGATCGACCGGCTGACGGTGCTGTTCCTGAAGTTCCTGGAGTGCTTCCACAAGCTGCAGACGTCCCTGTGGTGGGTCCTGGAGCTGCACATCGTCAAGATCGTGTCCTCGTACATCATCTGGGTGTCCGTGAAAGAGGCAAGTGAACATCGGCGTCCTTCCAGCCATACCGTCAGCGCGGCGCCGCCTCCCTTCCCCGGGTCTCCCTGACTTTTCAGGTGTAATTCCCAGCACATCAGGGCACCAGGGTCTGAGACGGGCACACACTAGACGCTCAGCAAAGCAGAGGACAGCGTCCTGGGAAGGGGGACAGACCTCAGGGGCCCCGGTATCTGCCATTTTCTTTAACGTACGTTCCGTGAGATTCCCATCATCAGGGGTGCAAGGAGACCACAGCCAACCACTGCGTGAAGGATCGCAGTGGTTGGGACCTTCCCTGAGCCCCAGTTTTGCTGTTTGGAAAGCGATAAAAGACAGAAGCCCCCTGACCGGGCCTGTCCACGCTGATCCTGCTTGCTTCTCCATGACAGTGGATCCTGGTGACCCTCGTCCTCGCACTCCCCTCTCTGGTTTCCGAACCCGCACTTCCCGGGCCCCTTCCTCCCTGGTCACCAGCTTTGCTCGGGGGCCTTCGGGCTCTGTCCGCATCCCCTCCTCTGACTCTGCGTGCTCCGTGGGTGACGGCCGGAGCGCCTGTGTCCCGCGTGCCGTCCCCACGCGGCGGGTCGTGCGTCTGGAACTCCAGCCCCATCTCTCCAAGTGACCGCTGGGCAGGACCTCGGCCTCGAGTGTCCCAAAGCGCCTTCCACGTTTGCTACTTGTCGTGTTGTGGCGGCTCTGTAGTGGGTGGGCCAGTCCTCCTCCAGCGGTGCTTTCATCCTCCAGCAGCTCTGAAAGGCGGCTCTTCTCCCCTAAAGCCTCCGCGCTTAGCGCTCACGGCGCTGCCTTGTCCTGGAGGCAAGCAGGTAACGCACCGCAGAACTGCCACCAGCCTGGAGCTGCCATGTTGCTGTTTCGCAGCCCCGCGAGCCAGGCCGGGACACGCAGCTCCGTGAGCGCCTGTGCTGGACACACATTCAGTTTTGCCAGCCGCGTGCTCGCGGTTTCTCCCCCCGATAGCACGGAGTGCTTCTGTGACCTCGGTTTAGCCACATCCAGAGACGAGGGTGACGATATTCAGAGTAAGTGAGGATTTTCCAGGGCTGAGTGAGATGGTGGTGCCTCCAGGCCGTTCAAGGGACTGTGAGCTGTGAGGAAGACTTAGAGATGAGTGGGCGTCTCCCCTGATGGATAAACACACTCACAGGCTGACCCCTTTCCTCCTTGCAGCTGCCCCACCCCAGGCCCTGTCTCCGGCGTGGCCCCCCCGGGGGCACTGGTGCCCCAGTCAGACCCTGGGAGGCGTCCCTGTCCTGTGCTTCCTCCTTCACCCCTTCCCCCGGCCGACTCCACCTCCCACCTCTGCGGCGCTGGCCTGGCGTCGCCCTGTCCCTGTCCTCCTGGACGACTGCAGGGTGTGTGAGCTGGTCTCCTGACCTCGGGCCCAGCCCGCAGACGCACCTGCGCTCTTCAGTGACGCAATCTAAATGAAATGCCATCTTTCCTCGGGGTTCCCCAGTGTAAAGCCCTTCGTGGCTCTGCTCCCTGCACAGAGGCCCATGCACAGGACTTAAAGGGCCGCAGAAACACGGCCCCCAGCTGCACCTCCAGCCTCACTTTCTGCTGCAGCTCAGTACTGCCAACTCCAAAATCACCAGTTGCTTGGGGTCACCTGCCCCCACCACGCTGCTCCCTGCGCTCCTGCCTCCGCCTGTACGTCCTTTACCTGGAACGCCCTTCTCCCTCTGTTGGCCTGGCTAACTTCAGGCACCCTGCAAGGGCCAGTGCAGGTGTCGCCTCTTCCAGGGGATGCTTCCCAGCGCTCCAGGTTAGGCCGAGGACCCCTTGTGAGTCTGCTCCCAGGAGCCTCTGCGTTGCCCGGGGTCACGTTAGTAGACGTCCTCCAGCTACAACCTGTCTCTGCTCCGGGCAAGTCTCTTGGCCCCAAGGGCGTGGCCTGGGAACTCAGTCAGTTTGATTCACCGAGTGGAACCGGACAAATCAAGTTGCCACATTTTGTAGATGTCGAGCCACATTACGTATTTTTGTCCCCAGGTGTCTCTGTTCAACTACGTATTTCTGATTTCTTGGGCTTTTGCTCTGCCGTACGCCAAGCTGCGCCGTCTGGCTTCGAGCGTCTGCACAGTCTGGACGTGTGTGATCATCGTCTGCAAGATGTTGTACCAGCTGCAAACCATCAAACCTGAGAACTTCTCTGTCAACTGCTCCTTGGTGAGCCTCCAAGACTTGCGGGGACTTGCTGACTGGTGAACCCACATCCCCAGGCACGGGCTGTTGGACCCAAGTCAGCTGGGCCCGGGGCGGGGGGGGGGGCCTGGACCCCAGTCTCTTCCGAAGCTGGGATTTCCCCCTTGAGTCGGGGTTCCCGCCCCACCCGGCACGTGCCTCTGCGCAGAGCCACAGGAGACGAGTCTGAACTCGCCTGATCGGAGGGGCCACTTCTTACTCCCCTGTCTCTTCTTTTCAGCCAAATGAAAACCAAACGAACATACCCCTCCAGCAGCTAAACAAGTCCCTGCTCTACAGCGCCCCCATCGACCCCGCCGAGTGGGTCGGCCTGAGGAAGTCTTCCCCTTTGCTCGTCTACCTGCGGGTAAAGGCCTCGTCTGTCTGCGGAGTTAACGTCTGATCCCTTTCCCCGGGGACCCAGTCTCACCCGTATAGTAACCTCACCCTCTTACGTGGCGTTTGCAGTCACCTGCAGCACATATGACTGAATATTCAGAGCAGTATTGCGTTGCCCTGAAAAGAGATTCATCCAGTGGTCTGAGGTTAATTGAATAAAGCATGACAAATATGGTCACTGGAACGTTCTCAAAGGTTGCAGTAGAGACAACATCAGACTCTGAAGGGTGCCCAAGACATGCTGCCGAGTTGGAGGGGAAAAAGCAACCTTCAAAACACCACGCCTGTGATCCCCTTTAGACACAAAGAAATATTATGTAAATCGTACCAAATGGTCACCAGTGATTATTTGAGAAGGAGGGGTAGCATCATGAGAAATCTTTTGCTCTGTGAATTCTCATTCCTTACAGAGTCTAACAAAGGGCATATATGGGTTTAGAGGAAATTAGATAAAAAGAGCATATCTGCGAAAAGAGGATTTTGACTGCAAGTAGCTGCAACAAACAAGTGGAAGCGGTCGGTTCCCGTGAGCCACAGCGCGCTCCGCTGGGCCGTGCTGGCCGTGCGCTTAACACGTGTCTCGGCTCCTGAAATCTTCAGGTGTACTAGACATCTCATTTTCCTTTGCGTAGCTTTCATGTCACGTGGCAGAGGCTGTTGGCAGAGTAGGAACAGTGTCTGCCTTTAAAAGGTGCAAGGATAAAAGCAGCTTGGATCTGAAGAGGGCGACCAGAGTGGTGTCTGGCCCGTGAAGGTCAGCTGCGTCGTCATTAACATCATTACCACCTTTGTTATTCTGCGGTATAATCCGCACATTTTTCCATCCGCTGCTCTTTCCAGCCAGATTTTGGAGGTGCTCAGAAGTTCCCCTCTAATGTGAAGCCCCGTCCTCCAGCTCAGTCTGTCTCCCAGGGGGTCCCTGTAGATCACTGTACAGGTGTTTCTCACTTTCAGTTGCACGGAAGGTTGGCCCGTCCACCCCCCCCCCGAGGTCCCAGGGCACTTCTTCGTGTGCAGGTGTGTACTTCCCAGGAGCAGGAAGGGCCGTCGCCCGTCGTCGGTCTGGGCATCGTAGATCCAACCAGCCTGCTTGGCGCATTGCACGCAACTCCGCCCTTGTGACCATATTGAGTCAGGACTGTATTTTATGGAGGCGGGATTTTACAGAGCGCTGTCCTTTCAGACACCCAGGCTGTTCAGAGCCGGGCTGCTCTAGGCGACTGCGTGGCGGCGCACGGCCTCAGCCCCGCTGTTTCTGGCTTGCAGAACAACCTGCTGATGCTAGCCATCCTGGCCTTCGAGGTCACCGTCTACCGCCATCAGGAGTACTACCGGGGCCGGAACAACCTCGCCGCGCCCGTGTCTAAGACCATCTTCCACGACGTCACCAGACACCACCTGGACGACGGGCTGGTCAGCTGTGCCAAGTATTTTATCAACTACTTCTTCTACAAGTTTGGGCTGGAGGTGGGTTTCCTTGCTCGCCTGTTTTCTTTCTCTTTTCGGTAAGAATTCTAGTGGCTGCTTTGCAGGGCTGGGTCGGGGACGGACCCTGGGGCTTCCTTGCACGTCTCCACGCCCTGATCTCTGTCTCCTCGGGCCCAGGGAGGAGGATGCGGCGAAGAGTCGGCCTGGCCTGGTTGAGTCTTTCCAGGACCAGGTGCCGGTTCCCCTGCTCTGCGGCTGGAGTTGGCCCCCGGGCCTCTGGTCTTACAAACGCCCGAATGGCTGTTTTGCGCATTCTGAATGTGGGGCCTCGGCCGGCCGTTCTGACCTGACGTGGTGGTGGGCCTGTCCCTGGGGAGTGTATTTGGAGCAGGGATGCTTCAGGAGAGCTCACAGCCGCCGTTCTCTCCGCCACTCAGCGTGGTTCTTAGTCGCCGTGGCCTGGTCAGTCTTCCCGGCGGGAGCCCTATGTCCAGCCCTCTGACTTCGTGGCGAAGACGCCCCCAAAGAGGCAGAGCAGGCAAACAGCAGGAGCGCGGGTCCCCCGCCCACTCAGGGCGCACCCCTGACCCCACTCCCCTTCCCTGTAAACCCGACTGCCTCTTTCATCCTCACGCAGACCTGTTTCCTCATGTCAGTTAACGTGATCGGTCAGCGGATGGATTTCTACGCCATGATTCACGCCTGCTGGCTGATCGCCGTCTTGTACCGGCGCCGAAGGAAGGCCATCGCGGAGATCTGGCCCA